AACAAGATAATAGGGATGGCATGTGCTATTTTTTGTCTGAAATTAGGTTTAAAAATAACTTTTAGGTCAATTTGAGGATAGTAAGAGTTACATAATTTCTGTTTCATGATAAGAATGAGTGATTTATTTTCAAACATCAGAGAGAAATATTGACGTGTTTTGAAAGACATTGTGTGATAAGAATACGTGAGAAGTGGGTTTGACTTTCTGGCTTATATTTCATAAACCAAGAAGATTGGAGGTTATAAAATTAGACTGTGCCTTAGTTATATCTATATATATGTAATGTAGGTTAGTCATAAAGGACTAATGAGAAAAGTGAAAATGAGCAATTCGGGGCAAACAAGTGTAGCCTGATACAGACAAATGAAGATAGAGAATTTATTCAAATGTTTCCTTTTGAGATTAAGAAAGAAATTAAAACGTATATTAACATTTGGTTTATTAAATATATTTTGATTCCAAATTTATTGATATACATTGATAAAAAAGTAGTTTAATTAAATTTTGAATATAAAAAGTCATGACATGTACACTGACTTATCCACATTCAGAGGATTAAAATTGTAGTTTCTAGTTCTAGTTCTCAGTTTTTAGCATCATGTTGTTACTATTGCAAATGGTAAATGGTTTCTATATATAATTCTGAAGAAAAAGTTAAGTTATAGATCAATCTTGGTGAACTCCTCAAAGTAGAACTAATAACTTTGTTTTTCACTAAAAATGTTTGTACCAAATTTCTTAAGATTAATTGTTGCAAGATTAATTCAATAATTGTTAATAAAAGATAATCATTGATCACCTGCAATGTCTTATAACTTATTTTTTTGTTGATTGAAAAAGCTTATCCAAAATTATGATTGTTAACATTTCATGATTTATGTTTTATTGCTACACCATTTCAGTAGTAGATAGATTTGTAACTACAGAATATTGAAAAAACAATGTGAAGGACAGTGCCCATTTGTTTGAAAGGTACAGTTGTGTGCATGAGAAAAAAAAATTTGGATTTGTTGGTCAGGTCTGATTGGACTTGTTAAAAATAATTATCATTGTCTGCCAGAGCTACCCAACCTCTTTTGAAATATGAAACCTGATAACATGGTTAAACAATGAAAATAGTTTGTATAAGATTTGTTATTCATTATTGGATCATAATTTTTATCACACACACAATGTTTATTTCAGTGTTCGTGAAAATTCCTAGAGCATAAGTAATAAGAATGCCTAGAACTTAACTATTTGTAATATATATATATGTGATAGCCTAGAAACAGGACCTCCCCTTCAGAAAAAATAAATTTATAGTATTGATTTAATGAATTATGATGGTAACAGGTTTAGAAAACAAGTTGAAAATAATACAAGCAAACACATAGAAACATAAAACATAAAATGTATTATTCTTTACAGGTGTAGAACTAGAACTGGCATCAAAAGCTATGAAAAAAAGTTTAAAGAGTAATTTTTGTAATGCCATAATATAAAACTTTTTCTAATACAATGATTATCTACTAATAAATGTCAGTGTACTTATCTATAAAGTAACAACAGTGGGACATTTTTTTGGCATTGTGACTAAGATTATAATGTTACAGTATGTATGAATGCTGCTCTTTTTGATTCTTCTTCTGAATTGATTTATAATAATTATTTAGATTATCTAACATGGTGATAAAGATGAAACTAAGAAAGAGTTTTAAAAGAAGTAAAAATTTGATTATGAATATAAGAGAATAAAAAACAGAAGATTCTTTGTGTACAGTTTATAAAATTCCTCAGTGCCTCTGGATTCATCAATTATAGCTTTCCCCAGAATCCAACTCAATTATGGCAAAAGTAAAAGTAAAAAACTATAGGCAAAAGAAATTATTTTTAGATTATATGTATGCAGAAAGATAATTGAGTGATAATAGTATTAAAAATTAACTCTCTTTAAGACAGATCATGTATATAGTATTGGTTATGATTATGGTAATAATGAATAGAATGGATATAAAATCTAAAAAATGATTGGATTGCTTTCACTCTGTTGTATGAAAATGAATTGCACCAGAATACAGTCACATTGATAATATATGCTGATCGTCTGTCATCCAACTAATAAGACACTGTCACATCAGCGTAATGCCTATTAAAATACAAGCAGTTCCCAGCAGTATTGTAGTGAACTGAATGCACTCATGACTTATAGGATAGAAATGCCATATGACAAACATTTAGAACTCAAAGCTTTGGGTGTAGAAGCTGTCTGTAAACTCTGAAGAGGGTTTGTGAAGCTAGTACTGTTGGTAATAAAAGTGGTAGAGAGTCTAAGCTCTTCAAAAGTGGTTTTAACTATTTCCTGATATGCTCTTTATATGATAAATAACAATCCAGTAGAAATCTTTCAAATTACTTAACTGTTGGTACAGTTGTGAATGTGTACTTGAGAACAATGAAATACAAATTAGCCTTAACATCAGTGGAAGAGAGAAATGTAAGACAATTGTGAAACATAAAATATATAACACTTATTTTTGTTAATCAAATTAGTTTGTTCTTCTCTCCTGAACTTGTTCTCATTCTGACATTTCTTCTAACCAAATTTTCAAATCACTCATTGTGTGGGAATGGTTTATGTATGAGTCATTATTCCTCTGAATCAGGATTACCAGAAAAATGTGGTATTCTTTTATCAATTTGATAGCTAAATCAAATAATAATTCAAAATATGAAAGTAAAATAACAAATCGTGTAGTATATAAAGTGTACATTGCTAATCTTTTGTTTCTAATTCTCAGGAATTAAATACACCTTTTTTTATTAGTTGAGTGAGTTTCCACAATTAATTTTAAAATATTTTATCAGGTCGTATATTTTTTTTGTAGTTGAACTTGATTGAATTTTTTTTTATAGTCATCCTTTTCATGGTCAGTTGAATGTTGGAGACATGAGACTTCGACTTGCACAGTAAGTAGAAATTGCTTCATCTATTGTTTATGGAAAAAATCTTTAGATTCATTTTTTGTTAGTTCAATAGAAAATGTAGACCCATGTAGTTCTTAAAGAATTAAAACAGTGATTTTTCACACTTTCTTCCAAAAGGATTTTTCTTGTATCATTCCAAAGCCTTTTTCATTTTTATGTTGTTGTTTTTTGTAGCACAATGCAAAACTCAGAAAAAGGGAGGAGGTTAAATCAAGCAGTCATGAGCACTGGAAAAGCTGTTGTTCAAACTAGTCGAGTTTTTGGTAAGTTGTTTCCTTTGGATGATCATCAGCATTAAATAAATGTTTTGAAATATATCATTCAGTTTTTGGTTTCAAAAATTTATTACAGTCATGTATTACTTTCGTTTGGACAGTTATTATTTACCTTCCACCTTGAAATCCTCTAGTAATAGTTTAAAATGATGTTCTTTCCTGTTTTGTTCACATAAAAGTTGTAAAAAAATTTTTATTTCAAAGTTAAAAAACTTAAGCTTAAATCAAATTTTATTGTACTTTCAAGATAATGTTTTTTTTTCTAGTGCTTGGTTTATTTTAATAATTGTGAATTATGAGAATATTAAAGATCGAAATACATATGTGCAAGGTCATTTTACCATATTATAGTAGTAACAATACTAATAGTTACCCAATGTAAATGTTTATAGAAGTAATTCTGGAGTAGATATTTCATTTATAAACTAAAATATTATGAGATTCTGTTTAGTTCTTGTAGTTATTATTATCACTGAACAAGTATAGAAAACACAGCATTTGAATTCAAATAACTATTTCATAAACATATGTATCATGATAATTTAGTCTTTTAAATGTTAGTTGTGTAAAAAATATTAACGAATTATCCTAAATGCTTAATTAAAACCATGTTAAGCAGTAAGCTTTTTATACAAGGAAAAAAACAGCAACAAATATTTGGAAATCTAACTTTGAAAGAATCAACTCAAATAAGTTATAATTAAAATTTGCTAAAAAATAATAATTCCAAATATGAGAGAAAAAACTAAAGCTTCATTATATGTTGATACCAAAAATTTTAAGAATATCACTTGTTTTATATATATATATATATATGTATGTATGATATACACACACATAAACAAATACAAGTTTTGCATCTTAATTTTGAGTGCTGTGTTTGTAATAATTTCTTATAACATTTATTTGCTAATGACTTAGTATTCAACCTTATAGGAGGTGCATGGACAAGTGCTAAGTCCATGATGTCATCTTGGTGGTCAAATTTTGGTTCTTCTTCCCAGTATAATATCCCGTCATCGGCCAAGTCACAAACTTACCCTGAACTCGACTTAGTTGTAAACTCTGGTCACGATGAGCTCCAGCATTTGAAAGATATCAACCCTATGTTACAAGACGTAGCCTCTGAGAGTGAAAGTGGACATTCTAGTGACATAGAGGGCAATAAAACTTGTGGTAATCATTCAGAGTTGAAATGTAAAGAGAAAAAGCATGTATAGTACACATTATATTTTGCATTATATCTTTGTGAATGAGTTTATTATTTGTTGTTGAAAGAAAAACATATAACTTGTATATAGAGAATTTATTAATTATGTTAATAAAAGTTGAGTTTGGATTTCAAAACACAATATTATGCAAAAGTAACAAAACCATAGTAAAGTGCATTGATTTAAAATGATCAGAAAGTTTTTAAAATTATGTGTTTGAACACATTGTTAAAGTGAGCTATATGCATAATTCAGAAGTAAGTGCAATTTTCCATAAAGTATTTTATCTTAGCATTTATTGAATCACAATTTTGCATGAATACACTGTCTACCATAGTTCTAAAAAAATAATTTACCTTACAAGGAAATTGCTCAAATTGCCATTTTCCCATTTATAATTTGTTATGTATGCATGTCGTTGTTGAGAAACTGTTTTCTGTAACTTTAACCTGAATGCTTACCTTTATACCACTGAAAGTTTTGAACATGTAATTTGCCAGTCAAACCTACTTGTTGTCAGTTATGGATTTACTACCATTGTAGCTTCTTGTCAATAGCAAACAATACAAATGAAGTATTTAAAAGAAGATAAATATACTGTTAAAATTCTTTTTTATATAAAAATCTAGCAATACATCATAAATAGACTTTTGCACTGTACTACATATGTTTTGTACTTCAATTTGATGATATTACTGACTTCAGGTTTCAGATAAAGATTAATACATCATGCTGAAATATGTGTAATTTGAAAATAATGTTATTGTTGCTTACTTTTGAAAATTTTAAAACATTGCTGATGACCATTGACACTTATTGTTTAAATATATATGTAAATACTTGCTAGTGAGATATTTCTCTGTATTGATTTTTCATTTAATAATTGAAAATAATGAATATGATTATCAGTTTTATACATGTTAGTTTGGCCATCGAAGAACTATTTTCAGTAAAGAATTAGTGCTGATGAAGTATGTAAAAGCAATCAAAAATTAGATTTAGTATCAGTTAAAAACCTTAGTGTTTTTGTCAACTTTGTCATCCAACTGTGTTTTGTGCTAAACTCTAGCAATATTATCTCTACTAAGATATTGAATGAGGCAGGCAATGAAGTGTCGTTTGAGAACATTTGATATAGAGTGAAATGTGAAACACAATTATGCTCTAATCACATCTGATGGTAATTTAGCATAGTACTGGATCACAAGCTTGTTTTGTTTTTGTATGTTTTAGCAGTTTTATTTTGTAGTGTCTGTACAATGTTCATGGGACTGTCAGCTATAGATTTACTTAATTTTTTTTACTGCTATTAACTTCATAGTGATGGAGTAACATAAGTAGAATACAAAACTTTTTAAATTCCTTATCTAAGTATTCTTGTAATAAATTATCGAAGGTTACATAAGTAGAAAATGACATTCTTGTTATAACATTCATGAATTTGATTGTTATACAAAACACCAGCTGTAATGGGATAATTATTTAAGTGTAGTGTTACAGCACTAAAGTCTCTGTTTGTGATTTAATTGGGACCTGTAGAGTAGAAGAGTGAAGAATAATAAGTCGTGATACTATTTGAGACAGATATGCTGAAAATGTGTTGTGAACTTTATTCTTTGGATTCTATTGAAATTGTTTTATTAAGACTTGAATATCATATTTTTATGTAATATTTGTTTCACAGTTTGCAGCATTCAAAGATTTTTATAAGGATATCTGCACTATATGCAAAAAATGGCTTAAAACTGATACATTTGTGTGGCAATAGACAGGAATCAAATAGTTAAATTCCCCAATATAAACAGTATAACTCGCATGAAATTGTGCTAGGTTGTTTTTTTTTCAATTTTTTGCCATTTGTTAAAAATTCTTGAATACCCTACTATATATTGTACTTTTTTAATTTCATATACTTTTTAATTTACATCTCACCATCTCTATTAAGTTATGTGAACCATACTATAAGATGTGAATGAGAGTCCATGAGAACATTAGAATAAATAAGTAAAGAATAAATTCTCTCACAGATTTTGGCCTAGGTCTTGAGTGTGGTAATGATCAACTGTATCATTAGTACTCCAATATTCATTAGTGTTGAATTTACATTTGATGTTTGGTAAATGACTACTTTACTACCTTTTGCATATTTAATAATGCCAATTCTACAGGAAAGATCTTTAAAGAGTAGATCTTAAGTCTTTAGGTCCATCCAAAGCAGATAATTGATCCTTTTTTGTTTTCAGAAATACTTTTTGTACTTGCAGCTAAGATGTTTGACAGCCATACTACTGAAATCGTTAAATTCATAAATTTTTTATATTTTTAAACTTCTTAAACCTAATTTATTTGTTTTGTATTCTGAAAATTTCTACGTTACATTCCTTTTCTAATTTTAGACACTTAGAAATCCAAATTACAATTTTTCATAAAATGTATAACTGTATGTAAGTGAAAATACTTTAAATGATCTTCTGTTTGTTGTAATGAGTATTATGCTTATTCTAAGTTCAATCATGCAGACACAATGCTTGTATACATATCCAAGTATACTCCACAACCTTTAGGTGTCATGCTTAACTTCAAACATGGATGTTTTTTTTATCACCCTTTGTTGTCATTAGCAGATACAGTGGTAATCATACAGGTAGTAAATCACTAGCTGAAAATGGGGCGACAGGTTAGATGATAACTGGAGAATATGTGGGATACTATACATATCTAATTAGCAAATACTTACAGTTCTTCTTGTTATTTCCCTGCAAGTGGCCAAAGATTAATAGCCATAGTTAATAAGAAAAAGTAGTAAACGATTAATAATGAGAACTAGGTAATTCTATAGGCTGCTAGCCATAACAACAAAAAATATATGTTCAAAGTTGCTTTATATAAAAAAACGAGAAAGATCTGAATCTACTTGTAACTTGTAATAAAATGGTCATGTGTGTTCTGTTATACTGGTAACCCATTCTTGAAAACATTATAGTTTTCAACAACATATTACCCTCTGGTAAGTGTTTTTTTCACATTGGTAACCTTACTAATTCCAGTCAAGTATTAATATTTATGCCAAAGAAATTCTGTGATGGTTTTTTATATATGTTTGTACATTTATTATTTTATAATTTAAGGAATGTTTAAGAATTTTTTTCCAGTGAACTACTGATTTATGAAAAGAGCTTGAATGAATGTTTCTACCTGTGAAAAAAAACATTCAAGTAAAAGTATTGGGATAAATGTAATAAAAACTGAAAGTTTTCCATGTAGGGTTTCTAGGTATACATAGTGGTAACTTTAAAATGGCTTGTGAGGAGTGGTACAATGTGTTATTGAGAAAAATAAAATTAACTTAAGGGAAGTAATAGAACTATCATGCTGCTTTTTAGTGACAGTACAATATTTCCTACTTGAAACTGAACAGTACTGAAGCCTATCACCAAGCATATGGCAGTCTTATCAGATATGTCATTATGTAGAACATTAGTGATGAAGTAAGGAATGATTAGCCAAGGCATGCAGTCCCCATGCCAAACATTGGACATCTTGGTGTAAAATGTGTAAAAATTGGCCTTTCACCCTTCAATTTCAGTATTCCTCAAATGACCCCAGTAAATGACACAACAGTAAATTTTGAAATAATATTTAATCTACATTTACAACTTGAAAGTAGAAAGGGTTATTTTATTGTGTATCTTCACATGTACAAGGTAATGATACATAGTATGAAACAATATGGAAAATATTTATCATATATGATAAAAATAGGAAAAGTTTAACATTGTTATGCTATGGATGTATAATTTTCACAAAACGTGTTTGCTTGAGGTTGCAGTTGCCTGAAAAAAAGAGCAGTTTATTTCAGCAAAAATAAAATATAACATTTATGTTGAGAATGCTCTTTGATTTCCTATATAGTATTTTGTATTTATTGGTGTAACCCTCCTGTGGTTCAGCAGTTAGTATGAGGACGTATAACACTAAAATTATGTTTTGATAACTGCAATGTTCCTGAGCACAGATACCCCATTTTATGGATTTATGCTTAACAGCAAAGAAACAGATCATTGGTGTCTTGCATCAAAGGGACTCATTAAAATGTAAATTATTGTAATAACAATATACAAATAAAAATACATGTCATACTAAAAGAAGATTTCTACTCACCACACATCTATTGTAATTTAATTTTGCCAGCTTTCTCTGATTTGAACTCATCAATCACTTGCTTTAAGTTTACTTTGTTTTAGATGGACAATACTCTTGTTACATAATATACATGGGTAGTTCTCAATATGTTTGTCTCAAAAATTAATTTTCAGCAGTTGCTCATAAATAGGGTTATCAGATACACTACTAGTATTAGACACTGTACAAACTTCTGAAAATTCCATTTGTTGTCTACAGTCAAGTATACTTGGTCTTTCACAGCCATTTGTTTTAAAAATGCTAATTTTAAACACAATATAAACATAAGTACATGTTCAAGAAGAGTAGGAGAAATTTTTGTTTTTTAAATGCTTTATTTTTTTTATGTAGCTCGTTATCAGTTTCAGAAGTTAGCATCTCTTGTTGAGTGAAATGAAGCTTACAACAATCAGCTGTATTTTAGAAATAATTAAAATACTGAGCATTGATGACATTGAGGTATTCATAAACCTCGTTTATCATGAAACAGCCCTCAACATTGATCACTTATTTGTCTTCAAGCAGTTCATCAAAATTATTACATTTCGTTGAATGACAAGTTGAATGACTTGACTTTGACACCTCACTTTTTGTTTACAATTAAATGGCAGATTTTTTGGTAATTGTGAATTTATTTTGAAATTTATTGAGATATTCTGTGCTGTTGAGTAGTAATGAAGCTACTCTGAAAGGTCTGTTTCTTTGGAATGAAGCAGTTTAGAAACACAGTATTTGCTGTTTCATAAATCTTTGCTTGGAACATAAGTTTTTCCCAGTGATTTCTTTAAAGCTAATACCTTGTTTGTCTTTGTCCACATTTTTGACTGGTTTCATCACATCACATACTTAAATCTAACAGCAAAGAGTGATTTAAATTGAGATAATCTTTGTGGTGGTAGACTCATTTTTAAAGTAATGTTAGTAGCACGCTCAGAAAAAGAAGCGTACTCTTTAACACTGATTTATTTGAAAATCACAGACAATAAATAAAACACCAAAAAAATTTTAGAGAGAAATTAAAACAAATCAGTTGCCATACTGGCACACTGAATACTTAGTGCCTGACATTTGTCAAATAAAATAAACAATTCATTGCATATGATATTCTGTAAATATTTTTTTTGATCTGGTTTTACTGAGATTTTGGGAAATTTCAACTAAACAAACAGTTGTGGGACATACATTACATAATGTTTTACAGGTACAAAAAGTTTACTCCAATATGTTAGTTTCAATCCATATCTGTGCACGTGTACCTAATACACTTTGCAAATACAGTAACTAAAAATAATATAGGGAGAATATTTTGTATAGTTATATGTTTAGTAATAACTGGGCAAAATACATACACAATTAGTTATAATCTTTAACATTTTCTTCATTCTATGTGTTTTGTTTATTTTTTCATTAAAAGCTTTAAATTTTTATTATATTTTCTCTCGTTTATAATGTGTAACTTTTGATATTCATTGTATTATTGCTTTTTTCTTGTACTGCTTTTATGTATAGTTTGGTTTCACACCTTTTCCCACCCCAAGAATTATGTAAAATCTGTATTCTACTGTGTATTATTTAGGTTATTTGAAATTGAATTTATAATTTATCTAATAAATTTTTCCCTCCTATTCTGTTTTTGTTACTTAAATTCTATTTTCTAATAATTATCTAACAATTTCAATGCAGTCACTGTTGCAAACTAAAGGATATTTCAATAGTGATTACTAACAAAAAGTTTTAAAACAGAGTTACAAAGTAATACATAAAAGCTTGCCAATTGAAAGCTCTATTAATTGAGACCAAAGTAAATGAAAAAGAAACAAAAATTTAATTTCACTAACTAATTTATTTGAAAGATTATTTCATATAAAAAGTGCATTTCATTTATGTTTATATCTAGATTTTATTTAGGACCAGTAACTGAGAATAGACTAAATTTTAAAAATAATTTTTTTTGTCATATATATTAACCTAACTTGTTTGTTACACAATGAATGAGGAACATCTTGTAGGAAATGTTCCAATGTGTTAATGCTGAATATTTATTATTTTTTTCTTTGTAAACCATTCTTATGTGTGTAATAATTGTAACGGAACTCTTAAAGGAGCCATCCATTTCCACATTTTGATGAGGATGACACATAAATTATGCCATGTTTTTTCCATAACCATAAATTAGGAAACTAAATCAAACAGAACATTTTTTTATTTTAAAAACAGAATTTAAACTTGCATTTAAAGTAATGATGTTGGTCAAGGGTTAAACTCTCAATAAAAAATTGCTGTTATTCATATATGCATACAGTAAAGAGTTTTCACTTTCATTGGAAAGTCATTTTAACTTAGAAAAGAGGTAAACAATACTAAATGTTAGCAAAGAATTTTGTTCATGTGTGTAATTTATAATGTAGTTTCCTAAAAAGCTTTTAATACTTTTTAACATCCCATACTTTTCTGGCCCAGTATGGATTTTATGTTTAAGAGAAGAGTATAATAAAATTTCATCTACACTTTGCGGCCCAGCATAGCCAGGTGGTTAGGGTGGTTGACTTGCAGTCTTAGGGTCACGGGTTCGAATCCCCATCCCACCAAACATGCTCACCCTTTTAGCTGTGGGGGCATTATAATGTGATGGTCAATCCAACTATTCACTGGTAAAAGAGTAGCCCAAGAGTTGAGGGTGGGTGGTGATGACTAGCTGCCTTCCCACTATTCTTTCACTGCTAAATTAGGAATAGCTAGTGCAGATGGCCCTTTTGTAGCTTTGCACAAAATTCAAAACAGACCAAACCAATCTACACTTTGCTATGACTGTTACAGACTAAACATGATATCAGCTCATTAAAAAAAAAAACATACTAGGCCAGTCTGTTATGGCATCGAACAAATGTCCTTGTAAGTAAGGTACTGTTCCTCAGTAACTGATGAAAATTGTGGCTACACTAGAAATTGACATGAAAGAAACTTAGACATTATTTTGTAATAGTGTTCCATGAGGTTAATTTGCAATAATTAAAAGGTTATTACAAAATCAATGATAATGTTGTGTGTGAAACTCATAAAATGACAATTGTGATGTTCTATTAAAATTGCATATCACTATATGTGATGATAACCATTTAGGAAACTAAAATAGATGCAGGTACTTAGGGAGTGGGTTAACTTGACAGAATTTTAGATGTGGTACAGTATACTGACTACCAATTGGTTCAAGGCATCCTTGATGAAAAGTTGAAATGTTAGGTATTTTGACCAATCAATCAAACATATGGTGTAGTTTGAAGCCTGAATTTGATATTTATTCACTTTTTAGCATCTTATCAATTTGTAATACAGTAACAGCAGTTTTTTCCAAAACGTATTTTCTAAAAGATAAACAAGAATATTATAAAACTTTCTGGTAATTAAAGACTAACTTTGGCTTGAGATGTGCAAGTTGTACCTTCTAGACTGACATAGTTGTGTTTTAAGATTACAAAAGGAAAAAAAAGGATGTCAGTACCCACATGAACCCATGCTTGGTGTTGTGTTAATGTCAAGCTATCTGATTGTTTCAGCAACTAGAGATTCTATGACCTAGTATAAAGAAGGACAGGTGTAATGTTTTATATTGGTGAAACGATAGTAGTAAGACTGTTGGAAATTTAAAGTTAGAATGTACAAGTAAATGAAGAAATTAAACTGCATTTAATTAAAGATAATTACAAGATCAGCAAAATCAACAATTATAAGCCTGAAAACACAAATGAGTTATCACAAAAAAATCTTGGCTTTCCCAAGTCAAAAACAAATCTCTTGAAAGTGCCAAACTGCATTTATGGTGCACTCTTTCTTTAGAGCTGACCAGTCAGAAAATTAGAACACCAAATTCTGAAACCATCTTTGCTCCAAGTGAAAATTGTGGATATAGCATCCATACCTAAGGTAAAGTAGGACACTCAAAATTGGCCCCCCAGTGGCACACCAATACGGACTTACAACATTAGAAACCAGATTTCGATACCCATGGTGGGTATC